AGAGCTATTCTCCAAATTTACTAACAGCTGCACAAGGCAAAATGGTAACCTTACCCTGAGGGTTTCCTTAGCCAAGACGGAAAGCCTGCGCTCGAGCTTTGCTGTTTCTGGGGTTAAAAATGTGGAACAATCTACCGAATACTCTCAGACAAATTGAGTCTCTTCCAGTTTTTAAAACTGAGCTTTTTCAACTATTGTTTACATAATACACATATGATTCTATATTTGTGTCTTCTCTATTTTTATTTTCAATAATATATTACTCGATGTTCTACTCTCTGTATTACTTATACGTGTGTGTGTCATACATACATGTACATTGTCATTTTTAATTTAGGTATATTTTATATTAGTTTTGTTCTTGTGAATTTATGTTGTAATTGAGTTTTACTACTTTTAATGTCTTTTTATGGTGCTTTTGTTTTTAACTGAAACACGCAGGGCCCAAATGGAAACACGTATGTTAACTGATTTTGGCTCACCCTGGATAAATAAAATAAACACAAAATAAATAAATAAATAAATTCTATTCTATTTTAAAACGTAATGGTTGAGTTCGGGCGGCCTGATCTTGACATAGTTTTCTTGTTCTCGCGCTCGAACGGTGGGAACACGACCTAAGAACACTCTTCTCGGAACAGGATCACACACCACCTCCTTGTCAAGGTTTTACAGGAACACACGGAAAAACTTGTGAAATGTTTATTTTTAAACAGCCGCAAAACACAGCGAGATGGCTTCCGAAGGTGGGACAATGGGACGTTTTGCCAAATTAACATCAATTATGTCCCACAGCACTTAAATGATTGCTCTTTTATATAAAGAAAATAATTCAACCCAGTTTTCCAAACATTAACCCTTTAGAGAGTTTAATACATGGACGCCGCCGTGTTGCTTGCCACTAACTGAACAAGCGATAAGCGGGTATACATTACCGGCGTTCGAACGGCCAACCCGCGAACAACAAATCGAGCTGTTCATGAACATACGGGAACAAGCCTCCCGAACTAGTAGCCTCAACGTATGACTCATGAGTTTTGATTGACAATAATGAAAAGAACCTAAATTGGCTTTGCTATCGAATGGCAGTACATTATGGCTGAGTTTGTTCATAAAATTTGCATGTTAAGAAAGGCCTATACCTAAAGGCTCGATCTCAATCTCCACAACAACCCCAAATGTACCAACAATGCCTTGGTAAAGTATTTTCTCCGCCGTGCCAATTCAGAATCTCCCAATCTTGGGAAGGGGGGGGGTGAGGCAAAGATCTAGGGCGATGCAAATGGATGATGAATTGATCTTACAGTGACAGTGTGATGGAAAGTGCAATACCCATCAAGAACATTATCAAAATCTCATAATTTGAATTCAAGCATGCGAAATACGTATTAATGCTCCTTCCTTACTAAAAGCCATCCGATGGTTGGTCTTATGTATATAAGATGGCTCTAGAGGCCCTGGAATCTCGTCCGAGTGGAGCGACATTAGCACTGGGGTCAGTGGCGTATAAAGCGGGGGGGGACTTCCCCCACGGATTTCTTTAAAGGGACTATTCAAAGGTAAGAAAGTAATCAGTTTGTTTATTTATCAAATATCTAATATTATTAGCACCAAAACCCTAAGGAAACAACGCCATTGAATAAAAAAGGATGTCTGTTTCTCCCCCAATGTCATGTTGAACGAGCCCTTAAATCCGCATTGGCTTTTGAATCGCCCCACACACACACCCACACACTTAAAGCTAGCTACGCCACTGACGTACACAAACATGGATTAAGTATCAACCACAAATCATGAGGTGAAGAAGAACAAAATATCGACCTAAGCAGTGGAAAATGAAGTGCGTTGGAACTTCTAACTTTAACTCTGTCTACTGGCAATGATTGATTATTAATTTAGCAATATTTTTGCACATCCTATAAATTTCAAGCCTCTAAAATTTGCACACAATGATTGATGAAGGACAAATGGACAATCCTACCAGTCATGTATTTCACGACTCGACACTGTTTCGACATTATTTCACGATATCTTGTAAGGATTCTTTCAATGATTTTTTTAATGGATGAAGGGCAAATGGACAATCCTACGATTCATGTATTTAACGACTCAACACTGTACCTACAATTTTACTTGTAGGATTCTTTCAATAATTTACGTAGTGCCAACACTTTATCAATCCCGAGATGCCGAACTAATAGATACAAATACAGTTCAGTTCTTTCTCTGGTTAAACTATGAGAACTAAGTCTTGTAATTTAATTCTTGTAGATTGTGAGTCCTATTTTAATTGTTTATAATTGTAATAGAGACATTTTAAAGAACTTGGTTTTGTTTAAAATTTTTCTAACTAGCGGTTTTATCTGAGTAAATTTTTTCTTTAATGTTTTTTAGCAATTATTGCAAATTTTTTATGAGCATAAACTGGTTCATAATTCAATCTCTAGGCTGCGACGGGAGAATTAAAATAAACCATACTAATTTCTTTAAAGCCATAATAATAATAGATTTTTTTGAAATTTTCACTCGAAATGTTCTTGCTTATTTGTACAAAAACAGCTTCGGTGTACATCTCTGTGAATGAATGAAACATAAAAATGTTTTAAAAGTGCAGTGTTTCAAAGAGGGTATTGCCAAATATACAAGTCCAGCAGATTTCACATTTTAAGAGAAACAAATTGAGCAAACCATTTCACAAGTAAAATTCGCATGATTGACCCTTTACAGATTATTTTACCCTCCAGGTACAAACTTAATTAATTCATTAATTGGCTCTACAAGGAAAAGCCATTGTTTAAGGCAGCCACACAGTTTTTCTGATTTTACCGTTTACCGATAGTATAAAAACAGAAACCTTTACCCCGCACAAAATGGCGGATTCCATTCTTCCAAAATAAAAAAGTATGCTTTAAATTTCACAGACTAGGATTGTCACTGTGCAAATTTATTACAATACACAAACCACGATAATTATTTCTGTTGATCAAGTAGACTGTTTAAAGATCGTGTAAAGTGGTATCTTGTTTCAGCTATTCGCCATATAAGTTTTTTTGTAGTAATTGTTGAATTCTTTATGTGCTTCAAATGTTATTTTAAATAACTCGTACTTCGTACAGTAAACTGTCTGCCCTTGAAATGGCTAAACCACGACCCGTGAGATTTCGGCCGCTCCGTTGTTGCGATTCTACTGACGATGAACTGCTTCAAAGACTGGGTCCCTGGCGAGCCCTCCTCAGTCTGGATTCACCGTCCGATCAGGGAAAGAAACCCTCTGCGAAACTGTCTGTATTTGAAGGCGTAAATGAAGGGATTCACGCACAAATTGATAGCCCCTAGTGAGTCAGTAAAAATGTAAAGAGCCTCGGGAATTTCCATTTTACAGCCTAAACTGAATATAGCTAGACAGACCTGACTAGGGGTCCAACACACCAGGAAGGTGACAAAAACGAGCACGAGGGTTTTGAAGACGTTGCGGCGGGCCCGAAGCAGCGATTGCTGGGCGTTTTCTGAGCGGGTCTCACCCGAAGCGCCGCCCAGGGCCAAACTGGCTGACACGGTCGGGGCGTCGGCACCGACGCGATTGGCGCTTCGCTTTAACTCTACGGTCATGTGCGAGTAGAAGAATAACATAAGGATCGCAGGGATGAAGAACTTGAACACGATTAAGACGATTCCAAGCACCCGGGAACTGACTGAAGTGGAGAGGAAACACTGGCCGTTTTCGTATCTGTTTGACGCAGCCGCGTAAGCCCCCTCAAGAATGAGTCCTAATAGCCAGATGGCCGCAATCATTCCAACGACTGACGTTTTGGTGTAAAGAGTGGCATATTTAAACGGGTACACGATAGCTACGTAGCGCTCGCAGGTGAGAGACACCAGGTTGAAGGTAGAGGAGGTGAAACAGGCCCACAGGAAGAAATCTGACAGCCAGAGGTGGCAGACAATTACGTAGTCCGTGGTATCCGGGAGAGGATCGGGGACCGTGATGCTGCTGGACAGGATCAGGAAGAGAGAACCGAGGAAATCTACCACGGCCTGGTTGCAGATGAGAGCATTTGTCAGTGTGTGCATGAGCTTCACTTTGCAGATAACAATGATTACCATGGCGTTCCCAATCAGGCCAATTAGCCCAATGATTGTATTGACAGTAAACAGCGCAAACAGTGGGTCCGCCATGATCTTCGCTCCGATGGATCGATTCCAACTTTTGCCTCGGTAAATGGTTTGCACCGCCGTTCCTTCGGGCTATAGAGCCTACTGATCTTGGGCGGTATCATACAGTGGATCTGAGAAGCCTACAGTTATCTCTTAATGAAGAGTGCAATATCCAGCTAGTTAAATGAACAACACGCCACAGTTTTCATCCCAAAGACTGAGTGCATAATGGCTCTTCAACGTGGCATTCATTACTAACATCCGCAGGATGATGCGCCTCTTACTGAAATGCGAGCTGACACTGGTAACAATGACACTTCTGCTGACTAAAGCAAGGAGCAGTAAATTAAAATGTAATCGATGAATTTGCAAGATTATGTTGTCATCAGCGGCTTCTTATACTACAAGCTAAAGGACACAACTGATATCTAGTGTCCCCCGTCAGCTCCTGTTTTGAAGGTCGCTTTGATTTGCCCGTTTTTACTACAGAAAAATAAGCAAACAAGAGCAAAACGTCCACCAATTTATCGGAAATAAATACTTTCGAGTCAGGACTTCTTTTATTCTGTATTTCTTTCAATCTTCCTTAAGAAGAGAAAAACGGGGGGAAAAATTACATCACACTCGCGGATATGCTGTTACACATAACAACTGCGAAGTGGTGTTTGTGTGATATATTTTGATACCGTGGGAATACTTGAGTCGATCTCCTACAATCACTCGATTCTTCATGTGCTTGTAACATCCAAATATTGAAGACACAGCAGAAAGATTTCAAAAGTTGTCGTTCGGAGGAGGACCTCTTGGTTCTTGTTTAGTAAACTATTTGCCCACCACCCACCTATCACTTGTCGTGGAGATTTAATTCTTGAAATCACTAAACTGCGGGGGTTATAGATCTTGTCCGCTCCGTTGTGGAATTCCACTGAATATAAGCTGCTGTGTAGACTACGTCTCTGGCGTGTCCTCCTGGGCGTGGATTCTCTGTCCGATTAGAGAAAGAAACCCTCGTCGAAACTAGCTTGTACTTGAAGGCGTAAATGAAACCAGGATTCACGAATTGATGGCTACTTGAGAGAGACTAGAGATATGATGTAAAAGGCCCCAGCGAAGTCCAGTTTCCAGCCAAAGTTGAACATGGAGTAAATGACGTGGATCGGAGTCTAGCATACCAGGAAGGTGACGAACACGAGCAGGGGGGTCTTAAAGACGTTGCGAGGGGCCCGAAGCAATGATTGCTCGGCGTTTTCGGGCAGGCCTCACCCAGGGCCACACTGGCCGGCACGGTCGGAGCTATATTAAGATTGCAGGAATGACAAAGACAACTAAGATAAAGACGATCCCAAGCGCCTGGGAACTGGCTGAAGTGGCACCGACGCGATTTGCGCTTCTTTTCTGCTCCACGGCCATGTGTGAGTAAAAATAACAGCATGAGGATCGCGGGGATGAAGAACTGGACCACGGCAAAGACGATGTTAAGCGCCGGGGAACTGCCTGAAGTAGTGAGGAAACACTGGCCATTTTCGAATCTGATTCCAGCTGCTGTGTAAGCAACCTGAAGAATGAATCCAAACAGCCAGATGACAACCATCATGACCACAACGGATTTCTTGGTGTACAGAGTAACATATTTGTACGGGTACACGATAGCTATGTACAGTAGCGTAACTGGGGTGCTACAGCACCCGGGGAGGGCACAGGCCTCGGGGGCGCGTATTTTGTGGACTGCAGGAGATTACAATACATTTGTATATTTAACGATTGACGATTGCCCGATGTTTGACGAAAACTTAGCAGAATGTTAAATGTTCAGGTATTGAAAAGGCAATTTAGCAGTCTTTCTGTTTTTTTAAAGGGATCGTGTAATGTAGAGATGTTTCACTAATATCCGTGCAATTGCAAATTTATGTTTAAAATTACATTTTATTGAATCTTGTTTTGCTTTCTTTTTTATTTGTATCTTTGGGGTTTTTTAGTTTTTGCTAAAGTGAATTTGCATATTCTTGAGCAAAACTACGAAATAAAATGAAGCACTGAACCTCCATGTTGCATTAATTTCGGTATCAAAAATTACTAGACTGTTTATACGTCGCTATCAAAGATTCCATTTCCTTTTCCCATTAATTGTCATAGAAGACTATCGAAATAAGCCAGCGAGATCCTTTTCTCAAATATGTTTTCGAAAAGTAAATTTGGGTTCAAAATATCAAAAATAAACGGTGTCGCACTGGGATTAATCACCCTAACACCGGCCTCACTTGTCTGCAATGGTTTGGTCAATTTCATAAGTTTAAAAAGTGTACTCTACAGTTCACTTGCTCTTCAGAGAGTTAAGCAGTTTTCATACCTTGAAGAAAAATTTAAACATATATTCGGAAAAAGATATTGTAAGACAAATTGGTTGCATTATCCCTTTTAAGAGACTTAGATATTCTGAAATCATGTACGCCTTTCGAGACAGTGAAAATTAGGAAGCTCCAGTTGAAAAGAATGGGCAAAAATGTTTGCTTTTCCACTGCTGTGCTCAACTGAGTGCATGCGGGTTCGCACATGTCTATTCTTAAAGTTCAATTGACGGTAACAACAAAACCGTACGTCGGATTGATTGAAACTTCACATTTTTGTACTGACAAGGAGTGTTTTGCATGCCTGACAAGTTATATAACTCAGGCAAGGGACAGCCATGGTCTAAAGGGGAAGAACCAGCCTGCACTCTCCCGGGTGTGAGATGGCACTAATTACCCAGCTCTTTAATGATTAAAGATTGTTGAGAGAGGTCCCAAGTTTTTTTTTAATGGAGAAAACGGTCACACGAGGCACAATTCGGAGGCGATATGATTTTGTGTTGATTGGTTGCTTGATGAATCCGGCTTAAATTTGATACTATTCTAAGCATCTATATATTTTGATGACAATACATATAAATGCATTCTGCAACCAAATACTTTATTCTTAATTTGATTTTTTTATTTAAGAGTACTGAAAGAAACTAAACTTGGTTTGATCTTTAATCACATTACACTGTAAAGCTGAAAAAACCAATAATGGCGTTTTCAGCAAAGAACTAAGATCGCTCCGATGGCTCAATGTCAACTTCCACCAAAACTCGGAATTTTCCACCAGGTGCCTTGTTAACATATCCACCACTGTCAGTTCGGAGTTTGCCACTGAAGGCTGTGCCAATAGATCAAGAAACTTACCACTCAGATCTTAATGAAGAGAGACATGCCTTGCAGGACAAATAATTTGCCTGGCAAATGGAGTATGTGATGGTCTTTCAACGTGCCAGTTATTACAATACTTACAGCCAACCTTATTTATGGTGCACTTCAGCGAGCTGACACTGATTACCACGGAAAGTCTGTTACTGAAGTGACAGCAGCACTGATGCAGAGTGACGAGTGGATATTTAAAATATTATCGAAGAATTCTTGTTGACACCTGCATATTATACATAAAGTGAAACATAAACATTTGGTGTCCTCGATTGCTTCCATTTTGGAGGTCACCCAGTTCTCTGTTAATTATTAATTTACTTACAAAGATATACAACACTGTTGCAAACTGCTTGCTGACTACAGTGACCTAAAATACAAATCACAAAATATGGAGGGCCTGACGTTTTGATCCCAGCAGAATCTTTCTCAAAGGCAAAAGTATTAATTTTGTACTTATAACACTGAAAATAAGGTGAAGATGATCAGACGGAAATACAAACTTTAGACTATCTGCGAACAATGACTTTTTAGCAACTAAACACTACATGAATTGAGATCGCTCCCATGGCTCTATCTCAACCTCTACCAAGCTCCCTATCCTCCAACATTGCCTTGGTAACTTATTTACACAACCATTAGTTCGGACCGTAGAGTCTGCCATTCAAGGCGATTGCAATATAGATGAAGAAACCTATACTGACAGCTTAATGAAGAGAGACATGCTTAGCACGAAAAATAACAAAACGTCGCAGTTTTTCATCCCAGCCAAATGGAGTACATCTACTGGTCCTTCAACGTGTCGTTTATTACTTACAGCCAATGTAATTTATGGCGCACGTTATACTTGCTTTGTAGCAAGTTGGCACAGATTACCCTGAAAATTATTCCGACTAAAGCGACAGTAGCAATGATGCAGAGCTACTACCGCAAACTTCAATGTTATCGGCGATTTCTTATTGACAGCCGGATCTTTTACTTGACAAAAACTTAAAACATTAACATCAGATGTTCCCACACGCTTCAAGTCTGCAGGTCGTCCAGATCTCTGTTTGAGTTATCATCACTTTATTTCAAAAACACTGAAATATGAGGTGACGACTCAACAATGCATCCATCGGGAAATAAAATACTTCGAGTTGGAATTACAAACCCTACGAACAGTCATGGGTTAATTGCCGACAACCTTTTATAAAACGTTTTGAACTACTTTCCTTGGTGAAGAAGAAGGTCGTTTACAGATCTTCTCAAGCTGAGTTTTGGTTGAGATACCCGTTTTGTGATACCCATCTGTGAGTTTGTTTTCCGGCGCAAAGAAACTATAACTGCTCAAATGTTGGCTTGGTAATTGGAATAGTGGGATTGTCCTTTCCTTTTACCATACACGTGTATAAACCCTCATACATCGGGTCTGCATTACATGCAACCTTTTTCTGCTGCGTACGGGTCCATGGTGTTTTGTACGCCCGAGGGGGGCTAAAGCAACTCGCCTGTGTGAAAACTGGCAGACCCGGTCACAACAGGCAACATTATTGTTTGTAACATCACGGAAATAGATCTTATGAATAAGAGAGAACAAAGTGAAATACATTTTTACCGCTTAACTTCACTTATATTATCCTTGCCGACTAGTGTTTGGTTGAACATTTACATGTACTCATTGAATGTAGATTGGTCGGAAGTGTCATCTGTGTCACAGCATTTGCGGAGAAATTTTCCAGCAAGCTCTTTACTTCTATCGGGTGTAATATCTCGCCCCTCCGGGATGATTGGCAATGCATAAATCGAAACCGCCGTATTTGAAGATTCTGGATTTGAAGACAGTTACACAGATTTCTGATCTTACCGGTCAAGCGGTTTACTGAGACTCCTCCCCCCGGATAAAGGCAAAAGCGTTTACCCCGCACATCATGAAAAATAAACCACCACAATACCAATGTCAAAATTCGATACTTCCATATGCATAACAATAAAAATAAACACTTTTCCATCTAAGGTCGTAGATGTGTATAAGTAGTGCAAATATAGGAACAACAAATACATCCAATCGGGCATGTAACGATACCCAAAACGACGATGACTACTGTCCCTGGTCAAGAAGAGTGTTTAAAGAATCGTATCAAGTGGAGTTTTGTTTAATAGAGATTTTTTTGTTTGTTTTTTGTTTTCCGCCATTGGGACACATTGAGTCGACATCCTGTAACAATGACTAGATTCTTTATGTGTTTTAATACCCAAATAACCAAGGCGTACAACCGAGATTTAAAATGTTGCTTGGGGAATGAGCTCATTGTCAGCGATATTTAATTCTTGAAATCGCTATGCCGCAGCGTGCCAGATCTCGGGCCTTCCGTTAGCGGAACTCCACTGATGATTAGCTGCTTTGGAGACTAGTTCCCCGGCGTGTCCTCGGCCTGGATTGGCCTCCCGATTAAAAAAAGAAACCCTCGTTGGAACTGCTTGTACTTGAAGGCGTAAATGAAGGGATTCGTGCATGAACTGATGCCTACCAGAGACAGCGATGTGATGTAAATGGCCGTGGTGTGGTACAGTCTCAATCCCACGCTAGTAACGAAAAATATGATCTGCATTGGAGTCCAACAAACGAGAAAGGTGATGAACACAAGCAGGAGGGTCCTGAAGACGTTGCGGCGGGCCCGAAGCAGTGATTGCTCGGCGTTTTCCGGGCGTTCCTCACCCTCTCCGTTCCCCGGTGCCGAATAGGCCGACACGGTCGGAGCGACGGCACCGACGCGATTTGCGCTTCGTTTCAGCTCCACGGCCATGTGCGAGTAGGAGAACAACATGAAGATCGCTGGGATGAGGAAGTGGACCACAATAATGACGATGCTAAGAACCTGGGCACTAACTGAAGTGGAGCGGAAACACTGGCCATTTTCGAATCTGTTTGTCATAACTGAGTAAGCTCCCTCCAGAATGAGTCCAAGGAGCCAGACGATAGCCACCATGCCCACGATGGACTTCCTGGTGTACAGAGTGACGTATTTAAACGGATACACGATAGCTACGTACCGCTCGCAGGTGAGAAACACCAGGTTGTAGGTGGAGGAGGTGTAGCAGGCCCAGAGGAAGAATTCTGACAGCCAGAAGAGACAGACAATTTGGTATCCCGAATTGTCCGGGAGGGGGTCGGGGACTGGCAGGGCACTTGTCACGATCAGAAAGAGAGAGCCGAGGAAGTCCACCACGGCCTGGTTGCAAATGAAAGCATTGGTCTTCGTGTGCATGAACTTCACCTTGCAGATAACGATGACCACAATGGCGTTCCCGGTCAGGCCAATCACACCAATGATGGTCTCTACAATGGGGAGGGCAAGCATGGGCTCTGCCATGTTCCCTTCTCCAGAATTACCAGTGACTTGATCCCGATTTGAGTGGGTGCTAGCCTGAGAGACGATTAGTGTGAAAAGTCCGGGGCATTTCAAATACGCAGCATGCATTGACAGCCACCTGAATCCTTGTGCATACTGACAGGGTAGAGTGCATGATAGTCCTTAAAACAGGTATTCATTACTTGAAGCCACACCATAATACGCCTATTTGCTTCTACATGAGCGCATAGGCTACTGATTGCCTTAGAGATTCATCCGAATGAAGCTGCAGCTCCCTTATACGCACGCTTTAATTAATGTGACCACTGCCGTTCTTAACTGAAAATTGACAAGTTAATTACCAACTAATTTGTGAGTTAAATTATTATGGACAACTGCTTCGAAAACTAACTACGACGTATTATTGCCTAATCTTTATTACATACTCAAGATGAGCAGGAGTGTTTTGCGGACTATATACGAGCATTCAGTCAGTACGTGCATAGAGCTCTATGGTACGTGTCAGTGCCGAGCAAGACGCGTCGAACAGGATATCGACAAGTCCCACAAGGTTGGCTGACACTTCAGAAACTGGCAGAACAATGCGCCGGGAAGGGCTGATGACTTTGTGCATTAATTGGCTACATTGTGAACACCTCCGACCGAGAGGTTATCGCTTCCTGTTAGAAAAGCGTTATTTTAAAGTTTTGTTTAGTCGAGAGCAATGCTTTGGACTAGAAAAAATGTCGGCTTATGTGATAAAAAAACATGACCTTGGTACAATCACAGTAATTGTTCTTCTCACTAAGTATCACTGATCACGTGTCTTTTCGCAATTTATCTCAAATCACTGGTATATCTTGATCAATTTTGGATGAACTAATAAAGTGCAGCAGTGTCAAAGAAAACGAGAAAATATAGAATTGATAACAGTCACATTGAGCGAGCTCTCGCGTCAGGCAGACATTTTCCCACAGTGCCCTGCGTGTCGTTAGTGACCTATGTGAGGTATTTCCTTCACTATAAAATATGTACAAGGCCATCAACCCTTCCCAGCGCCCTGGTCGGGCGCTGGGGCACGAGCGAAGGTTGAAGATTGGAGGATGTTGGAGAAAAACGTCGCTGAATGTCAGATGTTATTCAGACATTAATACGCACACAGTAAAACATAGAGCATTGCAGTATTTCTGTTTGAAAAGGATCATGTTTAAGAAAAACGTTTTACGCAAATCTTTGTTATTGAAATTTGTGTGTTATAGTCAACGTTATTTCAATTTACTTTTGCTAGTGTCCTCAGTATATTGGAGCACATACAGGTTCTTATTGCTTTTATAAATTTGCATATTCCTGAGTAAAACTGTGATGTAATTCTCAGTACTGAACCTCAATGTTGTATTGGTTTGTCACAAAAATCGCTGGATTTTTATGTTTCACTTTCCAAGATCTCCATTTCCTCTGGCAATACATTTTTGTATAGGAATATAGCAGTCAACCTTCTAGCAACCTTTTCTCAGAATTGTTTTCAAAAAGTAAACGCACCACCTTTACAACATTTCAACTTTCTATGTTTAATCTGACAAATGGGGGCGCTGTTGTGATATCCTTCAAAGGCTGACACTGTTCGTTGTTAGGGTTCGCTGTTTACATTGTGAACAAAAATTGTGTCCACTAGAAATATCTTTAGAGAAATCTTTGCCGACTAGCTTATTATAAGGAACAAAACAACAGCAAACAACCCCCCCCAATCATAATCTTCCTGAAACAGGAAAGTTCAAGAACGCAAAAACAAGACAATCCTATAAATTGTGGCAAGTTTCTTCGAGGAATAATATCACAATTTCGCTCATCACGATGCAAATTAGAACAGCGTTTGGTTTACTATACGGAGATAATCTGATCGATACAAGAAGAAGGCCCAGCTGGTCCAGGCTGAATTTCTTTATCTATTATCTCTTTAAATGAGATACAAGGTCTCATCATCAACATCCAGAGGCACATCTTTCACTTGCCTTGCAAGTTTCTTGTCAAGGGGTTTTCCCATGAATTCGAATTAATGCTCCTTTTTCTTTTTTTCTTTGACAACGAGTCGGCTAAGGTCTTCATCCTGGACTCAACCTGTTGCCTGTTGTTGGGGAGCCTCTGACGGTTTTTCTGAACGCCAAGCGTACACCAACTCCCTCTCTAGTCTATTTTCATCTCACGGTTCGTCAGCTCCATAAACTCTCTGTCATCAGAAGAAGGTCCCAGACAATCATTGGAACAGGTGCTCTAAAACACATCTAATAATTCACCTGGATCAAGCCTGCATTGAATGACTTCGAACACGTTCTGACATGGCTCAAGGCTGACAGAATCGCAGCTATTTCTCAGCACCTGTGTGTAGTAAGTGCTGACAACATCCTTTGCAGATGTCTGATGTCTCTGCGGACATGGGCACCGCTCAGGCAGACGTCGCCTGCACCCATCCACCCTAGGTCTAATCGGTGTGCCCACGGCTGATAATCCTTGCCATTGATGACCTCCCTCGCCTTGTGAAAGTGGGGAGCGTCCCTGCCGAGTAAGATCAATACCTCAGCATCCTTGTCTAAGGGGGCAGTATTGTGGCGAAGACTTCTCGGAGGCCATCTACTGTCTTGACAGCGTACCCTGACCTTTCATTTTTCATCCCCAAAACTGTCTAAGAGATTTGGGTTGATAAGACAACCATCACTCTGGTCGTCGATGAGAACGTACGTGGTGACAGCATGCTCTGGCTTCTTTTGAAGGAAGGCTCTTGCCAGGCATATCTTTGCACACGAGCGGCCCTCTTTACTCTTGTCACAAACTCGGGTACATTTGGGTGCCACAGTTCTTTCAGTGTCATCTTCTGTTTCCTGGTGGTAGGTGGTGTCTGGTTTTGATGTGGATATATCTTCATGGGTAGGCGTTGGTCTGTGCACCACGGTAGCATGGACCTTATTACGGACATCACATCTCGCCCCAGTCTTACTACTCTTGCTCAAGTCGCTCGGCTTTAGACATCTGGAGCACAAGTTGTTAAACTTGAGAATGCCAACCTTCTCTTCTGGTTTTGCCTTGAAGACGCGACAGTCCTGGAGGGTGTGTCCAGTGTTATGGGTAGGGCAACGAGGAATATCTTCAAGGACACTCTCAAGCGTGATCTTCGGACATTCCAAGTTCCAGCTAGGTCATGGGAGACTACTGCAAAGGACCGTGCAGACTGGTTTTTCCATCTCTTCAGAAGACAACATCCCATTTTTTGAGAACCGACGGGCGGCTAGACACCGTGCCTCATCGTCGCACAAGACAGGATAGGCCTTACTTTCTGTGGTCGCCTGCACCCTTGGAAGCATCTGTGAACTGGAAGGTGGGGCCTGTCTGCACACGGGCATGATCATGGACGAATTTGACAAACACATCGAATGGAGGAAACATCACAGAATGCTTCTCCAGATGTTCGGAACCCTTCTCTCGCCACTTGACTTGCAGCCACTCTGGCAATTACTGGACCAGTGGCTGCAGCCCCATCGAGGAATCCAGGGCCAGCAGAACTAGAAATGTTTTGTCTCTTTTGTGTACTGGCCTTCAAGAAGAAGATATCAAAAATACTGTAGTTCGGAGCTGTTTCGAGTTGGAATCTTTTGGAACTGTTCTACTCTTCATGAATTCTCGCTCCACTGCCTCTGATGAGCCACACTTCTTATCCACGTGAGCCCATACTCTCTGCAGGCCTAGATCAGGATTGTCAACATGAATGGTGCAGATCTTCTGCACGAGGGTCTTGGTTTTGCCTTCAAGAGAATCTAGGATAAGATCCATTTCTAGAAAGGGCTTCAAGTCTAGATCTTTGGCAATCTGCTGGAAGGTATGTTTCCAGGTACGCTAATCCCCTGCGTTACCATGGAAGCTCCTCAAGCTGCTTTTGATAAGCTCCTTCTTAACCAGCATGTTACTGATAGAGTTCAGCTGTTCCTACAACGGTTGACTATTGTACATCTTTGCTTTTTGACAATGACGGTTGTGTATTCCTCAACTCTTCTTTGTCAAGCTTGTTTTCTTCTTTATTTTCAACGACTTCTGATGGTTGCTTCTCAGCGGCTACTGGTGATTTTTTGTCATCTTATGACTTCTTATCTGGAGACTCATCCAGTTTTGTCTCAGGTTCTTCCATTTGTGCAGATTTTCTGGAAATGCGTTGACACGTAATCGCAGGTTCGATCAGAAGAGTTGACCGCCAGTAGCTGCAAATTTTTCTGGAGAGTAGGAAGATTTTCCGTCAAAGCAGCCAACTCAAGAACGTCTGCTTCTGCTGCTGCCATGGCATAATCTTTCTCAGCACTTAGCAGAAGAAGAGTACGGGCGATGTCTTCCTCTCGGTATTTCAACTCCGATTCCTCACTACGATGATCTGCTTCTTTACGGGTATACTCAACTTTAGCCTTTAAGGACAGAACACTGGAACGAGCTTATGTGGCAGCTGAGTTCGTGGTTAACTTTGTGCTACCACCAGTTTGACGGAATACAGTAGTTCGGTGTGACATCTCGGTTCGACGGGAAACTATACTTGTTACGTCATCGCAATCAATTTCTTGGATCATCCTGGTGGACCTGGGCATGTATTAATTGGAGAGTTCTTTTACTGTAATGGACCCGGGGTGCCGGAGCACCAACTTTCCAGCCAGATAACTACGGACTCAGAGAATAGATTTAAACTTGTTTATTCTATAATCCTCTTCATCGCTTGGTAAAACTAGAATAAAAAGAAAATAAAACCCAAAATACAATAATCTGGGACTATGTAAGTTGATGAGGAATTATACAAAATAAAGTCTGAGAAGTGTTGTGAGGTACAATGAATTGCTTTCATTGAAGAAACATTATATAATTAAAGTCATGAAAAACTTTAAAGTTCATAAATTTCAGAAAATCTAAAAAGAAAAGGCTGAAGTATGTTTGCTTACAGAACTGTTCTCTCTAAAGCCCAGTGTGTCCGGAGTCGTAGACAGCTTTTCCGTCCAAAATGTAAAACTCTGTGACCCAAAGATAAACAACAATGTGTGCAGTCATAACTGCACGATTTCAAAATATCCTCACAACTCTATGAATATTCATGAAATCAAAAACAAAAATGGCGAGTGCACGTTTTCAGACAAGTTTCGGCTACACACAAAGCTAAGTATCTAATTCACAGTGTCATATATTTAGTGCAGATTTACAATCATAAAGTGATCAATTACACACCATATCCAAATGATACACACTACCGAGCATTTTAGAGACGAAACCTAGCCTCAAAATGTCGCTATTTAAGGGAACCTTTAAGCAAAAATCGGCAGACTTGTAGATTCTGAGCGGAAAATCAGTGTACATAACTTTGGCGGCAAAACGTATCCGGAAAACTACAATTTTCTCTTCAATGCATTAGTAATAATCCTATACACAATTACTACAAATGTATAATTATAACTTCAATAGGCTCCTATAATACCAATCTGGTCTCAAAAGGTGGAATTTCTGGTAAGTTTAACTGTAGAACTTTGGCAAGAATGACGTACAGTGTAGAAATCGAAGATGGCAGAATAACCAGGAAAAACACGAGAGGGCGCTAGACCTGTGTAAGCTGAACCAGGAAGAACGTAACACTGAGGCAACATTCTCAGTTTGTAACATCACGGTAATAGGTTTTGTAAATGCGAAAGAACAAAGTGAAATACAGTTTTATGGCATAAATACACTGAAATTGTCTTTACCGAGCTAGGCTTTGGTTGAACAATTACATGTCATTAAATAAGTAGTCGGGAGGGCCACATTTGTTACGAAAGTTGCCAAGAAATTTTCAAGAAAGTTCTTTATACTTCAGTCTGGGGGGGGGTAATATCTCAACCCTTATGGCTGACGATGGGAATGCATAAATAGGAACCACCCTATTTGCAGATTCCGGATTCGAAGGCAGCAACAGTTTTCCAATCTTACCAGTCGAGCAGTTTACTGAGACATTTTCCTCGCTAGGACAAAGGCAAAAGCGTTTACATCCCACACACTGTGAAATGTATACCACAATACAAACGCTGTCACTAAACTATTTTGATGGGAAGTACTGCATATATACAGTGCGTTTAATTAGTTATGTATCAGATTCGATACTTCCACCGTACAGCAATAAAGATAATAACTCCACAAACACTTTGCCATGTAAGGTAGTATAGATGTATGTAAGAAGCGTAAATACAGGAACAATAAAAAACATCCTAGGCCTATCGGGCATGTAATGATACACAAAACGACAATGACTACTTTCCTTGGTCAAGAAGAGTGGTTATAGAATTGTCTCAAGTGGTTTGTTTAATGGAGATATTTATTTTGTTTTCCGCCATTGGGACACATTGAGTCAACGTCGTGTTACAATGACTATTCTTTATGTGTTTGTAGTACCCAAATAACAAAGAGTGAAAAATAAACCACCACAATACCAATGTCAAAATTCGATACTTCCATATGCATAACAATAAAAATAAACACTTTTCCATCTAAGGTCATAGATGTGTATAGGCCTAAGTAGTGCAAATATAGGAACAACAAATGCATCCTATCGGGCATGTAATGATACCCAAAACGACGATGACTACTGTCCCTGGTCGAGAAGAGTGTTTAAAGAATCGTATCAAGTGGAGTTTTGTTTAATAGAGATTTTTTTGTTTTGTTTTTTGTTTTCCGCCATTGGGACACATTGAGTCGACATCCTGTAACAATGACTAGATTCTTTATGTGTTTTAATACCCAAATAACCAAGGCGTACAACCGAGATTTAAAATGTTGCTTGGGGGATGAGCTCATTGTCAGCGATATTTAATTCTTGAAATCACTATGTCGCGGCGTGTCAGATCTCGGGCCTTCCGTTAGCTGCTTTGGCTGCTTTGGAGACTAGTTCCCCGGCGTGTCCTCGGCCTGGATTGGCCTCCCGATTAAAGAAAGAAACCCTCGCCGGAACTGCTTGTACTTGAAGGCATAAATGAAGGGATTCGCGCATGAATTGATGCCTACCAGAGAGAGAGAGATGACGTAAGTGGCCCCTGTGTAGTCCAGTATTGAGAAAATGTTGAACATGATGAAAACGACCTGGATCGGAGTCCAACACACGAGGAAGGTGATGAACACGAGCAGGAGGGTCCTGAAGACGTTGCGGCGGGCCCGAAGCAGTGATTGCTCGGCGTTTTCCGGGCGGGCCTCACCCTCTCCGTTCGCCGGTGCCGAATTGGCCGACACGGTCGGAGCGACGGCACCGACGCGATTTGCGCTTCGTTTCAGCTCCACGGCCATGTGCGAGTAGGAGAACAACATGAAGATCGCTGGGATGGAGAACTGGAAAACGACAATGACGACGCCAAGAGCCTTCGAACTAAATGAAGCGGAGCGGAAACACTGGCCATTTTCGTATCTGTTTGTTGCAACTGAGTATGACGCCTCAAGAAGGAGTCCAAGAAACCAGATGATAGCCATCATGCCCACGATGGACTTCCTGGTGTACAGAGTGGAGTATTTAAACGGATACACGATAGCTACGTACCGCTCAGATGTGAGTGACACCAGGTTGTAATTGGAGGAGGTGTAGCAGGCCCAGAGGAAGAATTCTGACAGCCAGAGGTGGCAGACAATTTGGTATCCCGAATTGTCCGGAAGGGGGTCGGGGACTGGCAGGGCACTTGTCACGATCAGAAAGAGAGAGCCGAGGAAGTCCACCACGGCCTGGTTGCAAATGAAAGCATTGGTCTTCGTGTGCATGAACTTCACCTTGCAGATAACGATGACCACTATGGCGTTCCCGGTCAGGCCAATCACACCAATGATCGTCTGGATGATGTGGATGGCAAACAGGGGCTCTGCCATTGTCCCCTCTCCAGAATGAGTGCCAGGCTAAGAGACGATTAGCTGGGAAGGTCCGCGGTAGCAGCCTTCATTGGCAGCGTAGTACAGAGTGCACTCCAACAACAGAGCCTCTAATCCTCCGGCACAGGCAGGGTGGAGTACGATCCTTGCACGAGGCATTCCTCACTTGAAGCCACACCGTGGTGCGCCATATTTATTACATTAGCCCGCACTGATTGCCATAGAGATTCGTCTGAAAAAAGCTGCAGCCAACCCTAAGCACGGTTTACTCACTATCACTACTGTCTAGAGCAATGACAGGAAATTGACAAGTTAATTACCAATGGATTTGTGCGTTAAATTATTATGGACAACTGCTTCTAAAACTAACAATTTAACAACAACGTTAAAATGTGTCATCGCCTGGTCTTTATTACATACTAGTGAGGAACGGGAGTGTTTTGTTGACTGTGTGAGATTACATTTCAGTCAATACGTGTCAGTGTCGAGCAAGACGCGTCGAATAGGATATCTACAAGTTTCCCACAAGTTTGGCTAACACTTCAGAAAATGGCAGACGGAATTACATGTGCATTTAAATGTTTGACTGTTGATGATTGGAGGATGTTGGCGAAAAACTTATCCGATTCAGACATTAAAACGCATTAAAGTCCATCAATATTTAGTGCCCCGCCCGCTTCCATTTTCAAAGTCGTCTCTGTTTTATTATTATCATTATTTTCATGTTTTGTTAATAATGAAACATAAGGTGACGGGTCAACCATGTCTGGCAATCCATCGCGAAAAAAACTCGAGTCAGAACTATCAATTTAGACTAGTCATCAGTTAATTGTCAGCAACCTTTAAATCTTGAAAACTCTCAGCCATAGACTGAATGTCAGTTTTTGCCGCTTTTGTTTGAGGGTTCCGCGGACGATAAACTCGTTTAAGGTCAAGGTCTATGACATATCCCCCTCAGTCTGGATTTTCCGTCCGATTAGAGAGAGAAATCCTCGTCGGAACCGTCTGTATTTGAAGGCGTAAATGAAGGGATTTGCGCATGAATTGATGGCAACCAGGGAAACCGAAATAATGTAGATCGTGCCGGTAGAGTCCATGCTACAACCTAAGTTGACCATCAATATAAACAGCTGGTTCGGAGTCCAGCACACCAAGAAGGTGATAAGAACAAGTAGGAGGGTCTTGAAGATGTTTCTGCGGGCCCTGAGCAGCGACTGCTCAGCATTTTCTCGGTGGGACTCACCCATCCTATCGCCTGGAGCCGATTCCACTTGACCCGACACAGTTGGGGCAATGACGGCAATACGATTGGCGCTTCGTTTCAGCTTCACGGCCATGTGCGAGTAGAAAAATATCATTAGGATTGCAGGGACAAAGAGCTTGACCAGGAAGAAAACAACGCAAAACCAGGCGATTTCTGACGAGAGGAGGCAAAAGCCATCTTTGTAGGTTGTTAGTGCTGCTTCGTAAGGTGCCTCAAAAATGGGTCCCAACAGCCAGATGGCCACAATCATGCATGTGACAGATTTTTTAGTGTAAAGAGTGGCATATTTGAACGGGACCACAATAGCTACGTAGCGCTCACAGGAAACCGACAGCAGGTTGAAGGTGGACGACGTGAAGCAGGCCCAGAGCAAGACATCAGGCAGCCAGAGTTTGCAGGCCGACGTGTGCGGAGAGGGGTCGGGGACTGGGATGGTACTTGTCACGATCAGAAAGAGAGAGCCGAGGAAGTCCACCACGGCCTGGTTGCAGATGAAGGCGTTAGTCAATGTGTGCATGAACTTCACCTTGCAGATAACAGTGGCCACAACGCCGTTCCCGATCAGGCCAATCACACCAATGATCGTCTTAATAATGTGGAGCACACTCAGGGGCTCTGCCATGGTCCTTGCTTCGATGATTCGATATCAACCTTCAGTCCATTCCCACTTTCTGAACGATGGCTTGGGAAATACTTGCAGAAAATTTTCTCGGGCTCCACAGTCTACTAGACTTTATGTGAACGGAAAGATCCAAAGCAGTTACATTAATGCAAAACCCCACTGCAACAGCTCTATACCCATAAAGAAAAAGAACAACACGTCGCAATTCTCATCTAAGCAAATGAAGTTTGTGTTGGCTATTCGATGCTGCGCCTTATTTACTTTAGTTAAAAAGCGACAGTGATTGATATGGAGAATACGCTGACTAAGGCGACAGGAGCACTGGTGCAGAGTAACGACTGAAAATTGACTTTACCCAAGTAATTGCCTGATACCGGTAATTCCTGACAGCCGCTTGTATCAGGGAAGCAGGGGACCAACTTACGCCTCCCACCCCACGGCTTTTGTGGTAAGGCTTTCAGATTTTTTTTCAGTCCACCAATATATTGTTCAGTAAGCCCGAACCACCTCGAATTTGAATTTCCTCTCCCCTCGAACACACCAATTACGTGAAGCGTCCCCACACACTTATCCGCTTCGGGCACAAGTACCCCCTCACTGGTTGAAATTAAAGAATCATGTTGGTCGGGAGTGTTCATTTTGTTTGAACTAGACCCTTGAGGAGCCCCCGTTGCTAAGAAAATCGTTAATTATGCAAGGGTACTTGCCTGCAGTATAATCGAGATTACAATTCTTCCGGAGGTGAGTATCAACATGCCTTCTGCTGCCTCTCAGAGCGCCTTCACCAGTCTTTATAGAACAAATTCTCTTCCAGCCAACCATGTGACCTATGACCTCTTTGAAAGTACTGCAGTGATATGGGTGGGTCAAGTCCCCATGGCTTGCCAAAAGGGAAGAAGGGTGGGAAAGTCCAACCATGTAAAACTGCTAAGTACTAAATTTAAAACCCATAACTTGGGTAACAACTTTAAACAGTGGAAAAAAAGAATTGGAAGACTGTAATTTAACAAGTAACACAATCATACAGAAAACTTCAAACTGGAAATAAGGCAAAGAACAATTTTCTTCTATCTGAAACAACTATTTGTAAAGTATCTGACAAACATGTCAAGAGAAGAAAATTATATCGATGAACTCAATAGTGAGCCACTCGCTGGGCTATACTTGACCCAACTTGGGCCCTCAAATCGAAAAATCATATGCAAATCACAAGAATCAAGGGCTAGTGGAATTGTTATAGGGAACCTGCTATAATACCAGTAAAGCAGAAGGGCGGGAGTTGACTCTACCCTTGCATAATCAACGATTATACTTCGCCTCCTTCGGTTTTGAATCAACATGCGATTTTTAAGCTGCTTTAAGGAGGATGTCAGCCATGGACTATTCTGTCGGTGGCTTATGATAATAGGTGCGGAAAGTACATGTAGAATCCGACGCCCAATCTGCTGAATCTAAAATAACTTTCAAGGGTACCCCTAAACCAAAAGATGCAGATGTCACTGCACCCCGTGTAGAGTGTGCCTTAAATTTGGTAGTGTCCACCCCAGCCTTCTGTAACATCTCAACCGTCGACCGGCTGACTGTGGATGACACCACCTTTTTGAGTGGTTTCAAGTGGCTTATTAGGAGCTGTGATTGGCCATTAGTGAGGGGGCTGTACGATTCATATAACTGGACACTGCTTCTACTGGACACAGGGACTTGCCCTCACTGAAAGGCCTTAATCTCAATACTCTTAACCCTGCGACGCGGTTATATTTTGGTTTTCACACGGTTGCTGGAGCTGCTTGTTTGGAGAGGCCGTATCATTTCTCGGGTTTCAGAGCCCCCAGTCCTTCCGAAAGACATTTAAATACTTCAGTGGCTGTCCCCTAGCCTCTACAGCTCGTAAAACCCGCAAAAAGTACACCACAATAGCGGGGGGGGCCTCATTTCCCAGGCTATCCTGGTTTGAGGTGGAAGGCCATTTCAGTCGGAATATCTTAACTTCTAAATGTACACTAAAGCAAGACCAATCATTTTTCATATTCCAATTGGCACTTTTAATCCAATACTTTGAGAAATTCACTAAACATTCATTTACTAGCACAACCAACACAGTAATGGAAGAGTGGTCAAATTAAGTTCCGAAAGTTAGAACACTGCATAATTTTCCTGGACAAATGTACAAAACATAAAACACAGTCTACTGCTCCTTTGAGAAAAAAAAATATTATGTAATAATAGGCCTAAGGTTCAAGTATTGAGCAAAAAATCAAGCAGCTGGTTTCTAAATAACATTCTTGAACGAGAAAGAAATGTCAGTACCGTGTAGTATTAAGTGGATAGAAAAAATCCCAACAGAAACATGTTCAGATACAGGGTTCTTCACTGTTTTACTTCAAATGTGTTTAAATCTAGATTAAGCTGACTTTCATATAGAAGGGGTACGGTTTACCCCCATCATTACCTCTGTGGACCTTGATCCTTTGATGAACAACATTTAAGTGTTGCATACATATATTATTTGTAAGTTCATACCTAGCATTTGTCATGTGGGAATCCAATACACACTTCACGGTGCATGTACATGTAAGGCAATGCTTTTGCCAGAGGGGTGTTTGGAAAACCTTGTAATAAACACCCCATTGGCCATTTTAGACACCTTTTGTTGCACAAACTGCATGTAAAAGCATAAATAAAATCAACAACTTGGAACTTTCCTCCCGTCAAGGCATATGTGGACACCCCTTCTTTAACGCTGGTTCTAAAACCTGCTGGTAAACTAGTTCTTTTGCCAGACTACGCAGAGTATCTGCCTCGGTACCTGATGTACACTTTGCAGCCTGGGCATGACTGCCTTTTTTCTGTTGGTATGGTAGACCTACATTCCTCGGCTTGACTTGACCTTGGCTGACACTCTCTGCTCACTAATACTACAGCTGCAATTTAATTTGGAACTTGAAGTAAGTTGATTAAAGTGAGCAGCCATAATCATGAGTACATGTATATTCCACCATGAAAAGGAATCCCCTTTTTAAGATCAAAAGGTGAATAATCAGCAGTACATGAATTACAGTAATACGTGTACAACTTTCAGGACCTTTGTCTTATGGATCATTTTGGTTTAATATGAAAATTAAAATCACATAATTCATTTTACACTCAGTTAAAATGTTTTTCTTCTACATGGCAAATGCTGTACACATGACTGTGGCCATCAGCGTGATTATCATTTCATTCATGCTATATTTCAACAATTTCAAAGTTCCATGCACCAAGGAATTTAACCATGACATCATGGGTGGTATCATTATAAAATGGTTTCTGCTCATTTCCACAATTCTTATCTATTTTTCGAGCAAAAGTACTGACATCAATTGTTGCGTAACCTTTGATTTATACACAAATACCCACAAAACATCCTAAATATACAAAACAGAAAAATATTACGACAGAGCTGGACAGTAGTAGCAGTATTCGGAGGGTTTCTGCAGTGTTGCATAGGACTGTCTGGACAGCTGATGGGAAGATGAAGATAGTCTCATACTTTTTTCTTAATATGGAGCTAACAGTGTTAAAAAATTCCATTGGTACGGTAGAAGGAGTCCTTGACAATACGAGATCGACCAAATGCAGGTGCTCGGAATTCCTTGACCACATCATCCAAACGCCATCCGTACTCCCAGGAGCTGGTAATAGGAAAATCGTACTTGACTTCAGGTTTCTTCAACTTCCTGATCTGCAGGTAGGCGTACCGGCCGGTGCCTTCCTTGCTGAAGCCTTTATAGAGCTGGTCTTTGACCGCCGGCGTCACGGGTCTCATCTCGACTAGCAAGGCGTCGGGGTCCTCGCTGGCCATGGCTGCCAAGTCTTTCTTTCTGGCCTCTTTCTTGGCCGCCAGCTCGCTCAGGCTGTGTGACTGCTCAGCGGCGGGTTTGCGGGCCTTCAGGGTGGCGACCACGTTTGGGACCATGTTTGGCCGATGCTTGCGGGCGATCCCTCTGCGGGATTCCCGGGCGAATTCCTTGCTGTACTTCTCGTGCCAGGCCAGGCGAGTGTACGCTTCCTTGTGGATGGACTCGGTCCAGAAATTCTGGCGTTGCACATCGAAAAGTTCCCTCATGCTGCTTGACTAGTTCAGCACGGAACGTCAGAAGTGAGAGGTAAACACCAACGGTGTGATTTTATAAAACGGCTCCAAAATACGCCCGATGACAAGCAAAAAATTCTTAACGATCATTTGTTACTTTCAGTACGGTGCTGATGTACATGTTATTGTGCTGTTACTATGGACGCACTGCGATAATGACTGAACAATCGCAAGAGGGCGCAGTTATAATTTCTTTCCTTTGGTTGAGCTGCATACAGGCTACGGCTAGCAAAATACAGCACATGAGCATTCGATTTCGAAGTCATTGGTTAGCGTCTTTATTCCATTTCAGGCAAGCCGTAACCAAGAATTACTTTTAGTGCCGTTTTCCAATACTCAACGTCGGCTCCGTCTAGTCTCAGGCCTTAACTGTTTTTAACCATGGAGGAAGGAACACATTTCCCCCATGTTTTAACTAGCTGATATTGAAGCTGTAAGAGCAGTAATTAGTTTAATAGTGCCACAAAACATCAAATAAGATGCAAGAGAGCAAAAAAAAAACAGTAATCTAATTTAATTTAAACGCTTCAGGCCCACTATTGGGGATTGGTTTTGGGAACGAAGGCTAAGACGGAACCCAAGTCGAGTATTGGAAAAGGGCCTAAGTAATCCGGATATGGCATGACGTATTCAGGGTTAATAAACTTTACCAAAAAGACAAAATAGTCTGATCTCCGAATACGTATTCCTATAAAATAATACATGTACGCAACGATATAAGCCGTAACTGATTGAATATTTTGTGGCTGAGGCTGTTTCTCAGTTGTGGTTATGCTGAATAAAGTGGCCGCGATTGGGAATGCAGCCAGTCATAGCCATGTCACGCGAGGGTGCGCTTGCGTTGTATGCGGCGATGACTAGACTTGACGTGACGAACGCCATGATTTGATGCGCTGAATATTATGAAGTGCGCTTCTTGTTGTTGGAAGTTTTGATTATCTTACAAAATGGCTCCCGCCCCGAAGGAAGTGGACGTTTTTTCCGGGCCACACAGTCGTATGAAAGAGTTGGTCCGCATTTATTCGGACAAGGTAGGCCCAGTTTGTATGGAATTTGTGAGAAATTAGTGGATTTTATTTGGTCATCATCGCCGCGCCATGACATGTTGCTCCTCCAATTGTGTATCCTGATACAGTTATGACACTAAGACACTAACTTAGTAACTAGGCCTACGTACGGCTACGTAAGCTGGTAAGGGTACGTGTCGGTCACTTTGCCCCATTTCCACTTTGCCCCACCGATTATCATTCATTCAGTAGGCCTAGTAACAGAGGCATAGGCCTAGATAGAAGTAATGAAAATGACGACGTTCGGGCAACCAAATAACGGCGGGAGAATCCAACTTGCAAAGGCCAAAACAGTGCTTTAAGTTTCGATTTCCTGACCGACCCATTTTTCGGCGAGGCCCAAACATTTTTTATAGGCAAGTTACAAAAATTAAATTTGATAAATATAAGAACTGAAGAAATACATGTAAATCCTGTTGTCTTTTCTGTCTTCACAAACACCTCAGAAGGACATTTTTCTCATTAGGGGCTGTGTTTAATTTCACTGTGAGTGTAACAGCATTTTAAGGGAAAATTAGTGTTGTCCATATATGGAACTCTTTCACTTCTCCCAACCTGCATGTAGATAATACTAAATAGGGACGGGCTGCATTATAATTTTGTTTTCAACAATAATTTTGAAAAAAAAAATGAATTGTCTTACCCGTGCAGCCATGAAAGGTAGGCAGGGAGTTAACCTCATCATTANGGTAGTTTTTCAGGAGAGAATGTTGCATTCTGCCTTCACATTTTTCCACCATGTTTCATCTCAGTGAAGGTCAGTTATTGCTGAAATGGTGAAAAGACATGAATCTAGGGCTGACAAAAAATTTCCAAGTTAGTTGGAAGTTCTTGGAAAATATTTTTGACCCCCAGTAGACTTTTGTACACAACTGCTGTGGAGCCAGGATGCGACATCATTTCCATTTGTCCAAGTCACTGTTCTTAAAGACTGCCAAACTATTTGCATAATAAAGAGAGCAAACTTCTCAAACAAAATAAGCAACAAACGTTCAGGAGGATGACGTTATCCTAAAGTCCAGAATTTTCTGCTTTCTGAAAGTCAAATTCTGCTGTCAGTGTCTTCCACTTTCAAAATTTTTATATACATGTACAAAAACTGTACATGTACATGTATGTGACAGTGCATTTGTAGGCCTTCATTTACCGTACATCTACATGTATCTTTGGCATAATGATACATGTAGAGCTTACATTCGCCATGCCACTGTGATCTTGAACTGGTCCCAGTCCCTATTGATTTATTCATAAGCCGTGAGACGTCTGGGCATTATATAGGGAATGGGGACCTATGTGATCTCTGCGGTGTGGAGCCGGATGAAATCAATACCGATTTCTGCGATATCGCAGAGGAAAAACAAGAGGGGAAATGCTACCATATGTTACTTTCAAAGTGAGTTAAACGGTGAAAATGAGTTGTCATTCCTAATTTGGGTTCATATTTATTTGATTAACCCTAACCCCCTAGGCTCCTGCACTAGAAAGCATACTGAACCTCACAAAATCCAACAGGTTCATGTACTTGTCTATGTACTTGTACATTCAGGTTACTGTACCAAATCTGATAAACTCCAACAGAATGAGCCCATTGGAGTTTGAGTGATATGGTATGGATGGGTCTATGCAGTATAGGATGACTTGCACTGAACAGTACCAAACCTGACAAAATCAAGCATAGTCCAACGATTGGTACAGCAAGCCAGACATTGCACACAGTGACCTGTGTGTGTCCCAACTCACACAGAATGCAACACCATCTCCCTAGACCTTTCAACCCAAGTCTTACAAAATTCAACAACAAGTTCCTCAGGTACAGTACCAAACCTGCCAAAACCTCACAAAACCTGCTGTTGGAGTATGGCAGGTTTTGGGCAGTTAGAGCTAATTGTGCAGAAACGATCAAAAATATGCATTTGTTTTATTTATGTATTTTTTTCCGAAAGTTGCCTTTTCCGCTTTCTACCCCCAAATCAGCAATTTTTGCAGATTTTCTGTAATGCAGAAAGCTCTGGACTTTAGGTTATCCAGTTTTGAGGGGGGGAGGGAGAACATGTGCAATTTAAAAATGGTAGAGGTGTAAATAGCAGGAAATCATTTCAAACAGGATTTAAACCTCAGCAGTGGCAGACGCACACTTGTTAAATAGGGATGGTAGATTTATAAGTGGTATGGGGGCAACATTACTCTTTCTGAAATTTGACAAAGTCAAATTTGACAAAGTCAAGCAGTAAACTTTGCATATGGGGAGTTGGGTTAGCGGAGTAGTTCTTTGTCACCTTTCACCTCTGCGGCCCAGCTTCAATAAGCCTTTTGCGAGTTAAATTTGAGTAAAATCTAGTACACTGAGTACTTTAAATTCACATGAACATAACAGTTGGAATTCTCCATACTGAAGCCACTGTTGCTATACCTCGTGATTCGTGGCAAGCTTTTGCTTAGTTACATAAGAGACGCCTTGCAACAATACACTGTTCTCAATGGTAAAGAATGGCACAAAGGAACCAGTCCATTCCAGAGATGGTGGTCACT